TTTGATAAGACCTTKGTCTGTATGCATTAATGACTAATTATTTAATTTTATTTAATTATTTCAACATAACATTGTTTGGTTCAAAAAAATAAAATATTTAATGGTTTAAWWAWATGTGTGAAAAATAATTTTTAAAAATTTAATAATGATTTCAATTGTTAGGCGGGAAGACTCGTCAGACGTTACCGCGGGTTAGGAATAATAAATGGACAATAATTATCGATAATTTTTTAAAAATAAGATAAAATGGGTTTCAATATTGCAAACAATATATTTATATTTATCAGGGTTAAGTAAGGGGGTAAAGCCAAAATACCCCTTAAGATCGAGATTTTTGGAATTTTACCCCCCAGACTTTTTTACCAAATTGTCGCTTAAAAACGAGGAGAAAAGACCACCCTAAAATTTTTAATTTTAATTGATACTATTTTATTAAATGTTATTGTTTAAAAAATTTATTTAAATCTAATTATTTATAAAAAAATAAGTAAAATATTTAAAATCACGTTAAAACTTATCCAAAAATAACATTATTTTAATTTAAATAATCAAATATAAAATTATCTATTTGTCAAAAGACAGTAATCATATTACAATTTAAATAGAAGTTTAAGATATATAAAGTTAGTAAAACAATAAATACTTATAATATAATGTTTTAATAATAATTTTTAAAATTTTAATTAAATAATTAAAAAATATTTTCAATTTTATAATTATTATAACTATAACTTTAACAAAAAATTAAGTTAAATAATTAGAATTCAGTCAATTTTTTATATAAAAATAACATTTTAAAAATAAAATTATGTACCTATAAACTATGAACATTATTATTTAATTATAATTTATATAATTATATTGAAAGTTATAAATTATTGAAATATTAAAAATAACTTATAGTGTATCATTGATGCTTTTATCAACTATTTTTAAATTTTAAATACAGTATTTTATTTTTTGCTAAAATTATACCTGGAATTATTCCTGGAAATATATACGGGAACTTATGAGAATTTTATGGAATTTACATGGGAATATTCGAGAATTTAAGGAATTCTTAGGGAATTATCTCTTGATCTCCCACCTTAGTATTTAATTTTTGAAAAAATTGCAGTTTAAAAATGCATATTCCACCCAGTCTATACACCCTAGTCTATACCCCACCCTAGACCGCCCCACAAWTTTTTTTGCAAATTTCACCCTAGCTTAYCCCACCCACTAAATTCCAAAACCTTGTTTAACAGTGATATATATATATATATATATATATATATATATATATATATTTATCATCAATTAATATGACATACAGACTAATAGCTAATAGYAATGAATTTTTTTATTATTGTATTACTCATACAACAGGACTAATAGTATTTAGTAATTATAAAATATTTAATACATTATAACAAACTAAATGGTAATTTAAGTAAATCTTTTGTATGTAATATATAATAAATATGGACTAAACAGTCTAAGCAATAAATATTTTAAATAGTATTGTAAAAAACAAAACTATTAAATAACACTTTTAATTAACGATTAAACAATTATTATATTATTATAGAATATTTATTTTTATTAAATTATTTAATTTAATACAGTATAAACGTTTACAACATTTTCATAATAATTAWTTAGATAAATACTCAAATAATTAATAAAAATGAATTTTTTTATTTAAGAGTTAATTTATTTTATCTAAAAGTATTGTACATAAACTATAATATAAATCAATAATATTATATTATATTTATTTGTAATCTAATTATATTTCATTAAAAGATTTCAATTACTTTTGAACAACAAATTGAAAATATCCGTAAATATGTTGAATCATATCGTTGTCGGGACTCTTAGTTTTCATTATATTTGCCAATATCTGTGCTTTGATTTTATCATTTTTCAATTGTSTRTCAATTTCACTGTCGACTAAATATTGTTTTCTTACAGTTACTTTTAATGGTATCAATGCTGTAAATATAGAGAAAAAACAATCCATATTAAATAGTTAGCATTTGTGTTTTATAACAATAAYAACAACAAAAATTAATAATAATTATCATAATTAAACAAAATATCATACTTTCTTCATATATTTTTAAATTCATTTCAAATGAATTTGTTATAAAGTTATGCGAAACAATCGTCAAATTACTGCCATTGAATAGTTTGATCCAAATATCTAACTGTTCCTCTTTTGTWGGAATATTCATAAACTCTTTTCGGTGAATAACCAACTGTTCATCAGTTAGATTRCCAAACGGATCATTAAGCCAATAGATATTTGCATAGATTTTAGACGATTTTTTAAGCAATCGTTCAATATTTTTGACGACATTATCTTTGTTGACAATCCAATGAAAACAATAGTTCGTAAAAATCAACGACACCTTTGACTCGAGTGACCGAATCTGTGGCGACAACTGATCCCAATCAWCACTAATGTCTTGAGCCAAATATGTTATGTTTGGTTTTGRATGGTGTTGTCGGGCAAACTCAATCATATCGGTGTCCACATCGATGCCATAGATGTGATCAACAGATAATTTGTCATTTAATGTTTGTGTGATATTTCCAGAAGCGCACCCAATGTCCACAATTATATCATATTTTCTTAACAAAAAAAATATAAATTAACGCAATTTTTAATATTTAATTATAATAATTAAACTAAATACCTGTTAATGTTTTCATTGTTAATCCTATTTATTAGTTGGTTTGCATCGTTAAATTGAAATATATTATTTTTGTTATATTTATTAGCATTAAAATCCATTTAATAATTGGATTATTTATTACTATTTTTTAAAAATTGTTTAGATCTTKTTTTATGATTTATAGAAATTTTTAAATAATATATTTAAATATATTTAAATAAGTTTAAGATTGAATATTATCAATTWTTATTTGTAAACATTAGATATTACAGAAAATATTAAATGTAATCGACAAATATTTTAATTTAATTAATATTCAAATATAAAAYCTTTATATACTTTAAGTAAATATATATTTATTKATTAATYTGTTATTTATCAGTTTATTTTCTCACATTAMTTTAAATGTTTTATATCARTTTAAAATTAGTTTATTGAATATTAAGTTAAATATTATGAAATATATTATGTTGTTTATTTAGTTTAATCTAAAAGTGTGTGATTTAATGGAAAAATTGTATTTTTTAAGACAAATCTAAATATTTATAACAAAATGAGTCAMACTTTATGTTCGTATAAATTATAGTATTAATTCTTAGTCTTAATTTTAATTCTAATTTTATATTTAAATTTTTTTTATCAAATTAACATAAAATATAACAATGATTATATTAAAATTAAAAAATATGAAAAATATAAAATATTCATACGTTATTATTATTTAATCAAATCAATAATTAAATTTGYAAATACTTAATCTATACTTTTTTTTGTTTTGTTTAATATTTTTATTATAGATGTTAGATAGARTATCAGAATTTAAAATAATATTTATATATATATATATAAATGCAATGTTTCACAACAATCCAAGGTCTTTTAAATATAAGATTTAATATATTATAATAGCAATAACTTTMRCWATTCACTGGAAATTAATGCCTTTTAATAGTTTATAAAGTCAAATATAATAAAAGATAATTGAACTTGCACTTTTTTKAAATATAAATATAGATATCACTATTTATTTACAAAACTTTAATATTTGTAAATAATTATAAACTTAATCAATATTGTTCATTATAAAAATTTATAAATTAAAAAATGTGCATTATTTAATATAAAATATAATGATTTTTTAAAAAAAAAAGTTTTAAAATTAAAGTTCATTTTTTTAATTCATATATTTATACCTTTCATTGCCTTAATTATAACAACTTTTTTAAGATTGTATTTTTATCAATGATCAAGGGCAATATTATTTTTTTTAAAAGTACTTTTAATACATAAATTTTACAAGTTGTAACAAAACATTTTACTAAATTTTTAATTAAATAAAAATATATTTTACAAATTTATCATTTTTCCAAAATCACTAAGTTTTTAATTATTTCCAAAAATTTATGAATCGGACATAAATAGTGTTATAAATATTTAAACTCTAAATTTAAATGCCATTATATTTCAATTTAAACAATCTAATTAATAATATAATCAAAATATTATGTTATATTTAGACTGTATAAATTTTAATATTATAATTACTTCATTATAAAATTACAATYATTGTACAAAATAAAAACAATTTTTATTTAATTGATTGAAAATTCAATTTAACAAATACAGCAACATAATTAATATATTTATATAATTTTGGATATATTTAACTTATCAAATACTGTATAATTTATCTATTAAATTATAATTTAAATTTTAACAAATTAAAWCAATTATTGTAAACATAATTTTTTCTAGTTTTGTCACAATAAATAAAAATAACTTTAAAAACAAATATATATTTTATAAACAATTTACTAATATAATGATTAATAAAATATATTTGTTTTTTTTGAGCTWTTTTAAACTGGCTCATTTACTTTTTTGCAYMWGTAGAWTACATTGAATATATGAATAATATTWAAAAATAAACATATTTATTTATATCATACAMAAATTATAAATAAAATAATAATAATAAWAAACAATATAACAAAWAATAATAATAATAATTACATATAATTTAATTAAAATTATTATAAATCGCATACAGTATTTTTTAAAAACTAAAATTCATAAAATTTTAAATACATAAACTATAATTAACAATTAATTATCAATTATACAGTAATTGATATTTTGTAAAATACTGTATAATATTTTAAGCATTTTTCATATACAGAGAATCAATAGTCATTATAATTAATATTTTATGATTTGTCGATTCATAATAAGTAKACTTTTTTCTGTATTAAAAAAATTATTATAATTTATATCAATAATTTATACCTGAAAAAAATCAATCTAAAAATATTTATTWATCATTAACACACACACAYGTCTATTGTGTTACATTCAGCGGCTTATAGCCAGTGTTGCCAACCCATGGATAAGATTTAGGACAGGGCTGACATGTTTTCAAAAAACGAGCCCCATTTTTTGAACCGACATTACAAACGGTTGGATGATTACATGGACCAACCCTGTCCTCGAAGTCACACTTCCAGGGGTCGAAATTATCTATTCGGGACAATGGTTGCGGATTTCTAATCCACTGAATCATCTGATAGTTGGTMACAAAGTAGACATCCTTTTTAGTGATCAACTCGTCGATGAAAGCCATAAACCCTTTYCGATGATGCGGTGTATTAAACCAAGCGCTGTGATAGTATAGACCAAACGGGGCCCGATTGGACAGGTAGTGGCGGTTAAAGTTTTTCATTAACATCTTTTGGACGCCATCCTCGTCGCTCGGGTTGGAACAAGCGTCGGCCATTGAACACCGGCCACCTTTTAGGTCGTGCCACATAACCATACCAACCTCCCAGACACCTGTTCCCCAGTACATAAAAAAACAAACATAAAATTAAGTTATATTTACAAATCACAATTGCATACACTATGTAATCATAAAGTTCAGGATAACTTATTATGTTATCAAATATGATGATAGGTTATCATAACATACCCGGAAACGATTTGGTAGGACAGGGAGCTATCATACACTCATGATTGACGGCATAGTCCAATGTGTACGGCCAGAATGGGGGCGAGTTTTCAAACACCGGCATTGTTGAGTCGTACGTAAAGTTAAGATCATAGAGCATTTCAAACTGTCTATTGCCGCCTCCCTGTAGAAAGGGGGCGCGCATACCCCTTACATCAGCCAAATTGACCCCACCATACATATGCAAGATCTCTCGCTGACCACTGATTTCTTTACCCCATTTCTGTACCGAAAACTTTTCGCCAAAACTATGACTAAATATATATATATAAGAAAATAAACGAAACAAAAATTTTTAAAAAAATTATTTATAAAGAAATCTCTGTACCAATAATAGGGATCTGTTATCAAACTAAGACATACGTTACTGAATGCGATGCCATTTCATGTCCTCTGGAGTACAATGTCTGTACCTGTCCGTAATCAGTCCATTCGTGCGACGCATAGAAAGTACCTAAAATGGGACAACCGTTTGGATTGTATCGATCGCCGAATACTTCCTCATAGATCTCCCAATTGAGATCATTAACAGAATCATCAAACGTAATCATTACCATCTGAGGTATGTCTGTGGCAGACATACCTAACGGTACGGCTGCGCCACCGCAGAAACAGTCGGGTAGTTTACACTTGGATTGCGTGCATTTTGCTGCCGGTGACAATAGTTCAGGTGTTTGATATACCGGTGCCGGACGGGAAGCTAATGCTGGCGATCCTTTTTTCGGTCGACTTTGTTTGTTTTGTTTGGTACGTTTGCGTTCAACCGGTGCCGATACTGTAGTCGTAGGAATCAGCGACTCATCAACAGTTGAATGATAATATAGACCGCTATTGTTGGCACCGGGATCTATGTAATCATAATAATCGTAACCATTGATAGGTGGTTTAGTAGCAATAGTTAAATGTTCGCGTTGTGGTCTAGCAGTTGTTGTTTTAGCTACCGATACGGGTGAATGTCTATTTGTATTAACTGTCCGATCAGAGCTACCATCACCCAATCGTTTACCATTGTGACCCAAATTAAACCTAACAGATGAATCTGGTCCTTGACGTAACTGATCCTTATAATGATAACCACTGTTAGCTCCGTTATGATTGATTACTAGTGTCTCGACAAATGGCTGTGTAGTTGTCTCGACATTTTGTGGTCGGATATTGATTCTTGTATTGAAGTTTTTGCTATCATTTTTAGGCCGATTATGTCTTCTACTATTACTTCCATTGTTAGACTTCTTCTTATTGTTGTTATTGTTGGTGTTATTAACTCTTTTTGATGTCTGTTTGGGCTTAACTCTAACGGATGTCCTATTATTTTGGTTACCATTTTGATTATACTGAAGAGATACTCGTTTCTCGAAAGTGTTTATATTATTATTATTGTGATTGTCATCCCTGACCAATACATACTCAGTTAGTTTAGGCCTCGATCTAGACGGTGATGATCTGCTAATACTACTACTACTACTGCTGCCTGTCTGTACTTTATTAGGCCTAAACACAGCTAACAGTTCCATATTAGGTTTGACTGTATGCACCGGACCTGTTGGCGGCAATATCTGTACTTTTCGTAGGTATGACATGGATGGACCATAATATGAAATGTACGGCTGGTTTTGCTCCGGTAGTAAAATTCTAGGCAATGGTTGTTGTTGTGTCTGAGTTTGTCTATTTTGACTGTTCTTTGACTGCATTCCTCGACTGCCAACAATCTTCAGCAAATCATCGGTCAGCGCAAGTGACAGCTCATCGCCGATATCTTCGTGTTTTCGGGCAATCATTCGTTGGACAACACGAACTCKTTTGCGGCGATTATTGTTGGCCACGGAATCCACTATAAAATAAAGTTGAAAACAAATACACCATAAAAAACATACATTTAGTTAAACACAACYGACAGTTAAAAAAACTTACCATTTTTTACTAAAGGCATGGCTATGATATCCCCGGCCTCGTTACGTGTGGCCACAAATCCGCGAATTTCAATCTTTTTGCTATTATTATTGCCATCTCTGGTCAAATCGATAGCATCGGTAGGTCTAATACGAGACGATTGTTCTCTAAAATGCTGCTGTTGTTGACGTTTCTGATTTTGATAATGTTGTGGCACTGGTGTTGTGTCGTCACTTCGGTCATAATCACCTCCACTTCTATACCGTCTAACCTTTTCTTCACGACTGTCCTCACGACTGCTGTCATCGTTTGTATTTTCTTCGCTCTCCTTATCCATCATAAGTACCGGTATATATTGATTTCGTAAACTTTTGTTTTTATACTTAGAGCTACCGAAGTTTGGCTCCTTATTGTTAATACGATAGACATCATTACCGCCAATAGTTTGCTGATCAGTGGCCACCGATTCAGGTCTCAAACGTTTGCGGATTCGTGTCACTCGGACTACTGGTCGCTTTTCGGCCACTATTTTTTCAATAAACCCGGAATCCTTATCATTATAATCTAATTGACCGCTATAACTATGTATATGATTGCGATCGGGTAAGCCATAGACACCTCCCGGGCCGTCGTGCATATGTACGCCTCCTTTTTCATCAACCATAGAAGATATAGATTCGTCATAACTGGGCTGTTGGGGGTCGGCGTCCATATTAACTTTGTTGCCGTGAATATCATCAATTTTTCCGGCATTACTGTCCAATGCTAACCTACCATCCCGTAGTCCACCAGCACTACGACCCACAACAGTGCCGCCTCCGCCGCCACCACTGTTCCCATTAATCCCATTAGTAATAGCGCCGGTATTTTTAGCCTTATTTTTTGATCGCCTTCTGATATCCAGAGCTCGGATATAAAACTCGGTGTCATTTGTTTGTTTCAAAGTGTTTGGATTTTGTTCTTCACTATTAAAATCTTTATTATTATTATTATTATTGTTATCATAACTAAAATCAATATTCATATCATTGTTGTTATTGTTGTTATTTTTATAATAATAATAATGATAACTACCATTATTATTATTATTTGTATTAAGATTATTATTATTATTATTACTATAACTATCGTTATATATGCCATTGTCTGAGACTATGTAATCTTCATCGTCAGCATTACCGGCATTGTCTTCATTAATATTATCATCACTTTTACTATTAAGTTCTCCTTCTTCTTCTGCTTCCTCATCATTATAGTTGTCCTCATCATTGGTCTCCACTTCCTCCTCATCCCTGTTCTCATTATTTTCACTATCATTGGCTATATTATCATTATTACTATTATTATTATCATTGTTTGTATTTCCAATATTTCTATTGTTATTATTATTATTACTACTACTTCTAGTATTATTTAGTCTATTATCGATATCTTCATCAAATGTTTGATCCAAATCCTCATTAAAAGCTGTTTTTCATGTTTTTTTTAAATATAAATATATATATTTGATATTATTTTGTTGTTATTTTTGTTGCATAAAAATTATTTTGCAAAAAAACACGTAATAAAAAACAATAGAAAAATAAAATTAATATTATTTTAATTTAAAAAGAAAATTATTTTTTTTCTATCAGATATGAAAACAAACGTTAAAAGTTTTTTATAAATGAAATAAAATAAAAACAGATTAAAAGTTATTTTAAGATTGTATTAAGTTTGCATAAAAATATAATATATATAAGAAACATAAATAATTGTCTATTTTAATTAGTAAAACAAATAAAATAAGTGATAAATTATAGTTTTCACAATAATTACTAATTTCATTGTATATATTATATACTGTATTACTAAAGTAGTATATAATTTTCATTACTGACGTATTTAAAAGACATTTGCCTTAAACTTGACATTAAATTGTGATAATTATAATGAATTCCTAAAATATTTCAAATAATTAAAAAGCTATTTATATAAAAAAAACTAATTATTAATACTACTAGTAGTAGTAGTGATAGTAAATAATAGTTTTATTTTCTGAATAATTTAACACTATTTATTGTCTAAAAATATTTTATGACTAATTATTGTTTCATATGTGTTGACACACAGATTATTTGATGACATTATTGTGATGTTAATGAAAATACTTATTATTATATATATATATATTTTTGTTTATTTCATAACTAACAATACGATGTTGACATAAACAGTACAATAGTTATGTTTTTTTAAAAAAATATTTTGATATTTTATATAATAAATTTATATGTTTAGTACAAATATTTCTTAGAATAAAATAATTATGATTTTTATGTTTAATTAACTTTTTATTTATAAATACTTAAATTATTATTTGAGAAAAATTTTAGGTTTTAAATATTTACTATTTACTAAAGTGTAAACCTTTTATTGAATTGTTAATTTAATTACTAGATATTTATAAATTAAACAAAAAAACATTTTATTTAATAATCTTATATTATTTGATAATCAAAAAATTTAAAATATAAATTACTTAAATTTAAATCTTTTGAAATTTTGAATTTATAAATATATGTCGCCATAATTATATAAATTAGTTAGGAAATAGCTTTTAAAAAAATTATTTAATTTATAGATTGTTAAATATTAAATAAGTTAATACATTATAGTATTATTGAAGATTTATTTTTATCCTATCTTACATAAATCATACGGTATTCATAATTTTTATTTTTTTTAAAAATGTTTATCTATTATTTATTAAATTTTGCAATAGTTTGTAATATATAATTTTAAATCATAGAAAAAAATCCTACAAAAAAAATTATATTATTAAACTATTTTTTCTGTCATAGGATTTCCAAATGATATTTTTTATATTTGATTATTTGTATTAATTATATCTATTATAAAATTTTAATGTCTTAAAAACACATAATAAAAATTTAAATAATTTATATTTTTTAATAACATCAACCCATAAGTTTATATGATTATTGTTAATATTATTATTATTATTATTAAACACATTTACCCTATAATTGTATTTCTAAATATTGCAAAATCTGTGAGAATATCACAATAAAATATTTTTAAATAAATAAAAACATTATTTGAGTGATCAATGATATAGCAATGTAAACATTAAATAAACTTTTTATAAATAAAACTCATTATTTAATGTTTGGCATAAAATCCATTGTTTTCAAACACGATTATAAAATACAGTTTACATTTATATTATATAATATATTGTGATATTTACGAAATATATTGTTATATAATTATAGCTAATAGCGATCACTAAACAAATAATATATTTTCATAAAATTTTAAAAAAGGTTTACCTCAATAAATATCAATATTAATTCAAATAACAACGTTTTCGTATATTATATGTATAATAATGTATTATTTTTATACGCTTTGCAAAAAATCATAAAAACTTTTCTGAAGTTTATTAATGATTTATATTTTTCTATTTCATATATTACTGTAATATACTGTATATTAGTAAAAGATCTTATGAAATATTTATTATTTTATGGGAAAATTATTATTTAACTAAATGCTTAGTAGTAAAGTAGATTGTGATCTCTAAACATAATTTGATAACATTTTATATACATTAGTATTATACATATATTGTATATTATAAAATGCAATCTTTCTCTCTCTCTCTCTCTCTCTCTCTCTCTCTCTCTCTCTCTTCAAAAGTTTGACTATTAAATGATTTTATTTGTAGAAATTAATGGCATACAAATTGAGGTCAAGTTTACAACACGTAAGTAAAGTTTTTTAATCTATAACAAAGTTTTTAATTTAGAAATAAACTATTATTTTAATTTTTTAATTAAAAAAACACAGTCGGAAAGTGTCATAAACTGTATTATTAAAATTTATTTAGTAATTATATTATACTGTATAAAGTTTGGATATATATAATATATTATAATACTATGTATAAAAACACTATAATATGTATTTTACAAGTTAGGTTAGGTTTAATTATGTGACACACACTAAAAAAACATACCATATTTATTGAGCCGAGTGCGACCATTGACCAGATTATGAGCGCACTGGACATTGCGAGGCCAGTCACATGTTTGCAGGTCGTGTGAAAAATACAGACCACCCGTACAGGTCTCGTGTAGGGCATCACCGAAAACGCATACATAATATTTGGAGCAATCTTTGTCATCGGCATAATAGCCAAACTGTTCCGGACATTTGAATTGGACACTCCTATTGTTTGTAATGGCAATGCTATTGTTAGCCAAGGCGTCTATGGCAGTCGTGACTTGATTTCGACTATTAATAGCATTATTATTGTTACTGTTATTATTGATGGCATCGGTGGTGGCATTATGTGCACCATTAACAGCACCGACAGCTATAACTGGTTGTATAAATAAAAATAGAAATATTTTATTTTATTAAATGAGTTTATATTTTATTTATATATGTATTACAATAAATTAATAAAAAGCTATAATTTATAATAAAAATACAACATTTTTAACACATTTTTTTGCTGTTATAAGATAGTAGTAGCAAATAATAATAACATTATATACAGTGAACTAATTTTGCGATTAAACTATTTATATTATTTATATACTTTTTTTGCAAAGTTCAATATAACAGTAAAAGTTGTCAACAATTATAAAAAAATTGTTTATAAATAACAGCAATATTTCAAATATATATTTAATAAATAAGTTATGCCTTTTAAAACTTTCAATAAAACTGATAGTTTAAATTTTTAGCTTATATTTATTAACAAAAGTTTTTAAGTTAAAATAATTACATAGCATACTGTTTAAACTATATGTTTGATAATAATTTCAAAAATAATAATATAAAATTTATATAATATTTATTATTATAATAATTATATTAATATTCATTATAGATTATTTAATAATTGTGTTTAAATACATAATAAACTATAAATTATTTCTAAATTACAACCTATAATAATAATTATTATTTTATTTTTAAATAATAAAAATAGCATAATAATGTATAAAGATTTGTAATGCTTTTGTAAGAAAAAAATTTAATTAAATGTATTGAACAACAAAAATCAATATTATTTAACTCAAATATAACAACAAAAAATAATTGTTAAATGCTTATCAAACTAATAGGGAAATAATATAATTGTAGCATAAATTAAAACTTTTATTTTGTTTTTTTTGTGTATAGCTTTTGGATTTAAATACCATAAGCTTTATTAACTCATAAAAAAGCATTTGTATTATCAAAAGATTTAATAATATATTTTTTAGTGCTATTATTCAAAAGACAAAATACAATTTACTACAGTTTACTATACAAATAGACTTAAAACTAATTTATTTTAAATATATAGTATATTATAGCAATAAAAAACACTTTCATACAAACAATTTGAGAGCTAATTTTAAATCATTTAATATGATATTTAAATAATAATAATACACATCTTTATTTAAGCCAAAAAAAWATATATTATAATAAATACATAATAAAGATTTCAAAAAAAGTATTTAAGTAGTTTTATGACTGGCATATAAATGATAAGTATTTTATTGTTGTCTATTATTATAATTATTATAAATAAAACTTTTTCTGATTATATCAATGGTATCTAAATAAAGATATTTTTTGATTATATATTCACATAATAAATATTAGCGCCATTAACATCATTTGAATTTATAATTAAACACACAAACACACATATTTCTATACATATATACACACATACATACACGTACACACACACACACACACACACACACACACACACACATATATATATATATACATACACGTACACACACACACACACACACACAYACATATATTATATCATAATTAATGATAACTTAATATACCATATAAAAAATGTAGTTGTGTAAATAAAATGTTTATTGCAAATTTCCTAAAAACATTTACTGTATACATTTACTTTATAAATTGATAAACTTCTATGTAATTTTTTTAAAAATAATTATTTAACATATTTATAATTTTAAATTAAATTATAGAATAAAATATTGTTTTTAAAAAAACAAAAAAAGTAGTATTTATAAACTGAGTGATAATTATACAAAACTAATTAAATTTATATTTTTTTTATTAATTAAAATTCAAATTGTTTAAAAAAAATTAGCAAATGTGTGATATATTTATTAAGTTTTTTTACTCTACATTATATGCATTTCTAATGAGAAACCTTAATAATTAAAAAAATAATGTTTAAAGGTAGAAATTTTGTTATTTAAATAAAACAATTAAAATTTGTAACTAAATTACTGTAAAAACAATATTAGTATAGTTTATAAACTTAGACAAAAAAAATCTTTAGTACATAAAAATTAAATACAATGGCTATTTTTATTTTTTTTAATTAAAAAAATTACTAACAGTTTTATCAATAAATAACTGAAGTTTATATCAAAAAATATTTCTATTAAATAAATATAATAAATGTATTATTTTATAATATTTGTTTAAATTATTTTTTTTAAATTAACAATTAACATATATGATAAAAATTTATATAATTTATGTAATTAGTAAGCTATATATTGCATAAATTCAAAACTATATAATAAGTAATATTAATAAATATTTATTGTAATTGTTTTTAATTATTTTATAAATTTGTTTCATATTTATGTTGGTCTACTAATAAAACCGAAACCAAAAAAAATAATATTTTCTTAATTTTATGGGTTAGGTTTGTTTTTCCACAAATAAATGAGTTTGTAGTGTAAGTTATTGTTTAAAATAAACAAAACATTGATAATAATGATAACATTTGATATTCATATTGTTGTTTTTTTTTAGTATACTAATATAATATATATATAAAATTATTGTTATACATATGTAAGCAAACTAGAGATTTGAAATCGTATTTTAAAATCAAATCTTAAAATAATATATTTTAATGTTTTTTTTAGTAAAATGATATATCTTAGGCAGATCTAAGTGAAATTTATTATTATAATAACAATACTACTAATAATAATGTTAAATAAGATTATGTATTTATTAATTTAAATATATATATTTTTATATAAATATTCAGTTTATAAATATATAAAATAAATTTATTTATCATTCAATAGATTATTTTAAAATATTATTTAATAGATTTAATGGAGAAATAGGTTTATTGTTAACTTATTATTGGATTTAATGTTTAAATTATCTGATATTTTTAATTTAATGGGTTTTGTTAGCCAAATACTTATAAATAAATTATTTGAATATATATATAAAACTTATTCATAATAAAAATTTTATTAAATATTAGTTATTTTTAGATGTCATATCTATCTAAAATTGCAAATATCATATAAATGTTTTAATTGATATTACAATTTTATCTAAAGTTTTAATACAATATTTCTTTTAAATAAGTATTTTATTTTTATACATTAATACTTTATAAATTTTTTGTTTATTCTATGATAACTCAGTTAAATTTAACTTTATTTTATTTGGTATCAAAATTATAAATTTATCTTAATAATTTTAAACTAACCAAGATATAAACAAAATGTATCTTAAATATATATACATAATATATTTTGTTTGTTTTTTTATTATTATTGAACTACCCTTTATTTCATTATTAATTCAAAAATGTAAAACACACTAAAATTTATGTGAAATATATTGTAATATTATTTTGCAAACTGTTATTTAATCGTGGATTAAGAGCACTCTGTTAGGGGTAGGTCTTAGCAAATGAGTTAATGATTAAACTTTTTTTATTATTATTATTTAAAACAACTAAATAACAAAATTAATTGAAAAAATGATTATTAAACATTTATAAGCCTTTAAGTCATTTTAGATAACTCACAATAAGCTATCATAATATCAAAATAAATTTATATATTTGAGCTCTCATTAAATTTAAAAAAAGAGGAAATAATTTTTAATAGATTAAGTTATTCGCGTGTTATATGCAATGTAAATAGCGATTCAATTGAGTTACCTTAATATAATACAATACATATTGAATTATGAATTATATACATTAAATTTAATAAAATTTGATTTTAATTATATATTACTTTATTTAACAACAATGACTTCATTGAGTTTTTTGTATAACTAAGAGCCACTCAATTTTGATAATTAATTTTATTTATCATCCGATTAATATATATTATTAATATTTATATTACACTATAATTATACACTAAATAATAATTTTAAAAATTTCATTATCTGTATGACTATTGAATTGCTGTCATTTACACACCACTGATGTAATGAAAACTTAATAAACAATTTCCTGATCATCTCATTGATGATGAGTTATATATTTAAACAAATATAATGAGTTTTAAAAAAATAATTGATAATTTATTAATCTTTTTTAATGCTATTTAGTTTAATATACTTAAAATGTTTTATAATATTATTAATAATTATTTATGGTTTTTTTGTATTTCAAAACGTTAGTGGAAATAACATTTGTTAGTCACACTATGTTTAATTTAAAGCAATTATTGTTATATTGATTTGTCTCAAAATATTTATAGTTATATATATATATATTGTGTGTAATTACCATAAATGTTAAGCAATCTATTTTTTGTTTGTTAATTTAAATATTTAAATTAAATAGTTGACCAAACAATGTAACTATAAATTTCTTATCAACCAATTAAACAGTAAATAAACAAAAATTAAATAATAATTGTTATCATTGCACACCCAATACTCAATATATTAGGTCATCAGTTGTTTAGGATTGTAATATTTTTAAACGTTATATTTATTAAATATTTTAATATATATATATATATAGTATAATATTAATTTATTATTATATATATATATATAAATATTTAATAAATATTATGATAATTAGTTTTTTTAATTCAACAAAAATTATTTATTATTTTTAGTTGACATATTATTCTTAAAATAATTAATAAAAATAAGTATAACTTCATCTAGGTTTCAAAATAATTTTTATAACACTTCAAAATAATACATTACACAGTATAATATAAATTATATACTGTATATGTGTGTAAAAAAATTATAGTAACTATCAGTGATCGTACAAATTAATTAGCAATATTACTGTAATTATACTGTAATTAATAAATATATTATTATCTAATTGTTTTTTGTTCAATATAGTTAAATGATATTTTTTGTGCAATGTTTTATAAGCATTTATTGAAAGTAAATTTCAATTAAGTAATTATAATTAATACTTATATTGTAAAAGTACAGGAATTTTCACAAAAAAATTAATAATAAAATAAGTATATATTTATTTATGTTAATAAAATTATGAATACTGTATATTATTTTATAATTATTATATTGTCATTGAAATAAAAACATTGGACATAATATCGTCTTTAT